TTTAAATTTGTCATCATTGCAAATAGTTGTAAGGTTTTTTCAGTGATGGTTTAAAAGTTGTCTTACACAAATTTTAGAATAAAAGAATTAGTTTTCAGTAGTCAAGTGTTTACTAGAACAGGAGTATTTTTAAAGGTGTGGAGTTGGGAGTATCCCAAACCCTTGTGTGTGATCACAAAAACTCAGCTGAAATGGCCATTATCAGAAATGAGATTTAAGTGATACTTTTGCAACCTAAGTTCTAACAAAGCTGCCATAGTTAGCAACTAACAGTACAACAGAGTTTTTAAAAATAACACTTTCCTTGATCCTTATCAGTGCTTTTACCCCCCAGCATTGTGTTTGCTGACAATGGCTGTGTAACTCCTGGGCTTTCGTACTTTGCCTTTGGCACTGGTTTGAGATGTGGAAGTTTTTTACCAAGTGCTGATGTAAGAATGAGATAGTGGAAAATAACTACAGAAATTCTTGCATAACTCAGCCTTAGTCCAAATGTTGGTGTCTGCCCTTCCTTTTTGTGATGTACTTCATTAAAGATACTCTAAACAGGCAAATTGAATGGAATTCAGTCTAAGTGCAAATTGCATCCATCTTAAGAAGTTTGTATCTATTTACACACCTGCATGCACACTGTGTGTGATGTGTAGGCTTGTGGATATTTTTCTCATCCATATTACATGAGTGAGGGGCTAAGAAGGGTGTGAAACCTGCTGTATGTAAACAGGAGTGAAATGCAAGTAGAAGTTACTCCTTTTCTGAAGAAGGTGTTCAGCTAAAAGAACTCACAACTTCTTTCTTGAGTTCTGGAGATTCCTGCATCCAAAGCTTTCAAACAGAGCCTTACAGTAAACAGAAATTACTAGGAACTGCATCACTCTCTTTTGCTTTGTACATGTGCTGAAGAGGGTAAATGGGAGTCAATTATTATTGATGCTTAATCTGATGGGAATTTTGAATTTCGTTAATATCTGGGCCTTGATTCCATGGCTCACAGTTCCTGGGTGGGTTGTGTTGATTTGCAAGGCTGGTGCAAGGCTATGTGAACACTGACTGTTGTCTGACTGTTGTACCAGCTGTGCTCAGTGGGGGACAGCTTGAGCATACAGCATCAGGTATTTCAGTCTTAAGTCAACAAAATAACTATCTACAGATATGCTATTCATTACATTTTGTAAGTAATACCAAGATATATGGAAGAAAACAGAGCTTTCTTCATCAGTGCTTTAAATTGTGGAAACTTGACAGATTTACCATTCCCAGGAATGTGTGAAAACACTGCCACATTGCTCTCAGGCTTTTCGTTCCTGATTTTGACCAATCTGTTTTCTGTGACAGGACATCAATGAAATGGTGCGAACTGAGCGTCCAGACTGGCAGAATGTCATGCTGTATGTTACAGCAATTTACAAATACTTTGAAACCTGAACCCTAATCATTCAACAGATCCATGGAATACAACATGAGCTACCAGATGGAAATCTTACTGAAATGCTAATCCCCATTTCACTGAAAACTGGCAACATTTGAGTCCCCTCAAACTTCAGTGACACTGTCATGAATTGCCTCAGATTGCTTCAGCTACTAAGCATGGAAACAACTGTTTAAAAGTAAGAACTTGTTGCCACAGTGCTTGGAACAACCCAAGTTATTAAGCTATTCCGATTAATTATGTAGCCTAAAGAGCCTGAACTACTTCTGTGCTGCCTTTCCAGTCAGACTTCCTGAAACTTTCTTTGCTGGGAGAGTGAGATGAATGCTTCCTCTGGCATATAGGAGACTGAATGTACAGATAAAGCTTTGAGAAGGAAAAGGATAACATGGCATCATATTACTGAACTTTCTGTAGCATCCTGATTTCACAGACTCTGAATATTCTACCCACAGCATATGGCAGCCCCATACAGTAGAGTTCTTAATGGTAACTTAGTTAACTGCCTATACAGCTATTTTCCATCCTTTAAAATGTGCACAATATTCTAGGAAAACAAGCTTTGATTCCATAATGACAAATTGAGGAGAAAAGTGCTCTTGATACCTCGAATAATCTGGCACAGAAGAAGTCTTCATTCTAAAGCTTCATTATAAGCCTACCTCTGTCACAGTGATGTGGCTTTTCATCTTTATCTTATGGATTGTAAAGACTAGCACATGCAGCTCCTGGCTTTCAGGGTACACTACACTTCAAGGAATCTGTGCAAAGTCCTTGTGCTTCCACTATGACAGAAATGAACCAGTGATCACCCCTTGTCTGGCTTGTTCTTTGCTCTCTTCCTGCTCTGCCTGTGCAGCACACGCAGCCACTCCGGGCTTTCCTCTACAGCAATACGAGAACATGGCGTGGGTATCTGTGGTAGAAGTTTGGAACTGGGATAGCATTTCTTCTGCAGAGAAGATACTCTCAATAAGATGTAATAATGAAGCAGTTTGTCTCAAAATCCAGCTTTGCCATGTTTTCTGTGTGTTTTTCGTTGGTCTTGCACATGCTCATCTGAGTGACAGAAGGTGAGATGTTCCCTGGGAAGGACTATGGAGGAACTGATGTAATGTGTGTCCACCCAGTCATCTCAAATACTGCGTGGAAATGACTCACTGTCACAAGGAAGGAATTGAGAAACTTTAGTCTGGTCAACTTCTTTTTCTTTCTGAAAATGTACCTGAATTCATTTAGCAGCTCTTGGGCAAAAGAGTTTAAGTGCCTTAGCTATCATTGAGTTGATACGTCCTGGCACTTCAGGGCCTGCTGTGGAATGTTAATGGCTCCCAATGGTTTCATGGCTCCATTTGTCACGAGCTGTTTGTTGTAATCTTGTTTGTCAAATCCAGGGGAGACTTCACTCTGTCATTGCTTCTGCCTCTTGCTTTTCTGAACACTTCACAGCAGTTCAGCCGTGGAACATCTCATTAATATTAAGCAGAAGCTGACTTGAGCAGTGAGTTCTGTAACAGCTGCTATTTATAAGCACAGGCTCTTTCAGCAGTAACCCCATTGTAAAGAAAATAAATCTGTTCTATGGTGCTCTTACGACTGTTAAGGACAGTTTGAATGTCATAGATGTTAACCCAGTGAATGCAACTGTGCTTGGCATCTGTGAATCTTCTTCATGGTAAAAAAAGCACAGATTTAACTCAAAAGTATTGCCAAATCCAAAACCCCATCATCTGAAGAACATAGCCCACGTGAAGAGTAACAATTCAGCATGTCTCTAGCATTGTATAAGAATACACATTTACACTGATATGTGCCTGTGAGAATTATGGAACTTTGCAAAACAACTACTTAACCTGTGCTGAGGGCCTTTGGAGAAGTTTTTGGAGCAGTGGTGTCTCAAACATTCTTGCAGCTCTTTAGAACTAGAAGTAGAGACCCTCAGATTATTGACCGGTGCATTTGAAGAGCCAGCATAATCTAAAGACAATTGTTACAAGCGAGGTTTCAAGTGAAAGAGCTTCATTAATAGATTTTAATAAAAGTCTGAAATGCATTTTCCTCTCCTCTATATTTCTTAATTTTTTTTTTCTTTTACTTCATTGGTTTCAATAAGAATAGTTGTAGTGGAAATACACATTACTTCTGTAAAGTCTTGCTTTCTATCTCCTATTATTAAATTCCAGATTTTGCCAATCAGTGTTTAAAAACCCTTCTGTTTATCCTCTGAATGGATATCCTTATCTATGATTGTCTTATTCATTGCCTTAGAGTTAAAAAATACTATTTTTCTAATGAAAAGGATAGCATTTCTTGATCTAAATTAACTGATCACATATTTTGGTGAGGTAATTCGAGCTTTGAGCTGATTTTTTTTTCTGTCCAATGGTCATCTTCATTTACCTGGAATGTTGTCAGAGTCCTTAATTGCAATAACCCTGAGAGTGTCACCATTTGTCAAAGGAGAAATCATGTTTGCCAGAATCCTTCTGTTAAAAACATGAACTGCTGGTCTTCAGAAAGGAAGAGAGAGAAAAGCTAGCAGTAGTTATAATAGGGATCTTGTTATGAACTTCAGAGCTCAGTGAACTTCTTCTTAGTGTCATCTGTCTGATAAAACTCTGTGAATCCAGCCCAAGAACCCTGGGCTTCAGGAAGAGGCTGTTGTGTCCTGATGTGTCTGAGCCTTTACAGGAGAGGTGCTGCCCAGCTGCCCAGTGGAAGGAATGAAGCAATGGAAGAGCTAAAGCAAACACAATGCCCTGCTGCACTCCAAAGTGTGGCTTTTTCTGAAGGTTCAAACCACATTCAGTTGCTCAAGAGGTAAAATAGCAGTAGCCCTTCTGGGTGTGGAATAAATATACTGTTGTGTTTTGTTTCTGTTCATAGTTCATCCTGAGACAGCCTGGCTTTTTGTTCATGACAAGTGCAGGTTTATGCTGATTTACTTCCCTTCTAATCCAGAAGATATTTCTGAATGTACTGAAAATATTTTGTCATCCGTTTGTGTTTTACTATGTGCCTTGCAAATGCCTGTGCTGTTGAGCATCAGGGTTACTCATGGCCAGCTGTGGCCAGGGTGGGCAACAAGATGGAGCTGTGGGACATCCTGATGCAGGTACAGCTGTGTCATCCTCTGGATCCTGTGGATGGAAACAATTCCATAGGGGTTACACTAGATTTGGTTTTCAGTTGGTTTTGTTTAATCCAGTTTGATCTGGCTGCTTGTTTAAATAGAAACTCTAATTTAGTATTTCCACTGTGAATCTCTGGCCCTCACAAAAATGTCTTATTCCCATGCCTCTGAAAAACAGTGAAATTTTTACTTTTAAATTTGTGTTTGTGGATAGTTTGTCCAGAATATAGTATATAATTGTGATATATTCCGATGTAAAGGTAGATTTTTGTCTCTTTTGCATAAAATATATTCTTCAAGTTACATGTAATGTTTATGATAATTTTTTGTCTCCAACTTTATGAAACATTTCCACTGTTTTCTGTAATGTCCATCATTGTGTCTTAGAAGGCCCTTAATTTGCCAGAGCTAAATGAATTTTCAATTCAGTTTATTGGTGTAAACTCTTATTCATGTCCCTGGCAGAGGTGATGCTCTGGTTTTTGGTGCATGAGGAGAAATAAATTGCAGCCCTGCTGTAATGGTGCAGTGCAGTGGTTTGAGCTGCTGAGGATCTGCCTTGTGTAGCTGTGACATTGGAGTCTCACTTCTGTTCCTGATCTCAGTGTTAAGTTCTTAGCTATTTTCTCAGTTTCAGCACTCCAGACCTTCGAGTTCATTTGCATCACCAGAAGATTACTTCCACTCAGTTCGATTTCTGTACTGATTTGACCCAGGGCACAATTTTTATTCCAGCCTAGTTTTAACCAAGATTATTTGGGAAGCTGGAGATTTGGAGAACTTGTGGGTGTTTTTCTTCCTGCCTATGCCTGGTCTGGGGGCACTGCCTGCTGCCCAGGTGGTGTGTGCCAGTTCCTTCCAAAGGCTGAAGTGATGCAGGTACACCTTTAAACTGTGTTCCTGTGGTGACTTCACTTCTTGTTTGCCTCTTGCAACTAACACAGTCCCCAGAAAAGGAGCTCCTAAGGGGCAAAATTCTCCTGGGAAGGAATCCAGTTGTACATCTTCATGCTACTTTTTGCCTAAAAGTGAGTTATGCTGAGGTGGTCTAGAAAGAGGACCTTAAAATAGTCATGTTCATGGATGGACTGAGTTAACTGGTTTGTTTGTGGTCCTTCCTTGACTTGGTAAATATTTATTTCTGTTTGGTTTTTATGTTCTGCTGAGCTCTATTTCTGCAACTCCTTTCTTGAAGCTCCCATTAGTGTATCCCTTTCTTTAGGCTGATCTGAACCAGTTGGAGACATTGCTTGGTGAGAAGTGCTATTAAAGTGTCTTCGGCAGCCAGGAGCGCTGGACGTGCCATTGTGCTTTCCCAAGTTAGTGTGTGTTCCCTGGCAAAACACAGACAGCTCTTAATGCATTCAATTGTCCCTATTTAGAAAGGTATTTTTAATAGTGTTTCTGCTTTCACTGGTGAGTGGCTGGGTGGGTTTTAAATTACTGTGTGGCTTGCTGTGTCCCTCCTTCATCTAAGGTTCTTCTGTTGTGTTCCCTGATTTCAGAATGAGTCTTGTAGTACACTCTATAATTATCTAACCCAAGATGTTAAGCATCTGGAATATGTAGCAAGTATGCTGTGGATAATTAATGCTAAATAACTTAAAAGGTCAAGATTTGTATCGTTCTGATTTCTGCTAATTGATACAAGTCTTTTTTTCCTTCTGTTTTTGCTACACTTGCCAGTTGTTTGGATGCAACACCCTTGAACTCCATTTGACAAAGCCACTGTCCTGATCTCCTTGAGCTAATTCCTTCTGGGATATTAGAATTATTTCCTCCCAGTGAAACTTTAGTAAAACCTGTGAATACCAGATGACTTCTTTCCAACTGACATTAGCTTTTGCTTGGAATATTCCTCACCCAAAGGCCCCTGTCTGCCTCAGAGTTGCACGTAACTTCCCATCAGTCCCAGCAGGACTTGGATGCAGAGCAGTGGGGTAAACTGGCAGAATCTTACAGCAGCCTGATGCAATTAAGCTGGTTTCATTTGAATCCCCTATTTTCAGGGGTTTTCAGTTTAGGCAAAATCATTTACTGAAAGCTGAAATGTGGCCTGTTAGTTCTCCACTGGGAAGTATGCTTCTGTTTAATAATATTTTTATGAGATTGTATTTATGGAAACAGAAAGAAAAATGTCATAAAGCTAGTTTTGTTGCACTTTTCTAAGGCTTTTATATTTTGCATAGTTCTAGAATATGAGGAAGTTGCTTGGGGAAGTCAAGGCTTGGAACCTGCTCAGCCCCAGCATAGCAACATATGATGTGCTTTTTTACTAGTGATCCATGTATTATTTTAATTGCATGTAACTGGTGTATTTATATGGTAGTGAGGGAGCCCAGCAGACATTTCCTGCTGCACAGGAGCCATTGGCAGTCCCAGTTCCACAGTTCATGAACTGACCTCTTCTGACTGCGGACTGCACTTGCAATAATGGAATAGTCCATCCTTGACTTTGAGCTCTTTCAACAAGTGAGGAAAACAGGGCTCTTTTTTCCTTTCTCTCTCTCTNTTTTTTTTTTTTTTTTTCCTCCATTGTTGAAATTTCTCTGGAGGCTTTTAATGGTTTCCAATTATTGCATATGTTAATTTGGGATGGTTACTTGGAAATCCATTCATCTAGGAGGGCACAAATATATGTAACATTCTCAAGTAATTAATCCTTGTAATTTACATTTCACTTTGATAGAAACCTTTGGTTTTATGTGTATTGTAAGGTTAATTTTTCTGTCTATAAGTAGCACTTTTATATGTATCTGAAGGGTTTTTTTGAACAGAAATGTGTTTTTTTTTTCTGTATATTATCTAATGGAAAGAAAGTATAACACTACTAAACAAGGCATAGAGTAGTTTGCCTCCAGACTGTAAGTTCACTTTAGGTCAGTAATGATCAAGAGTTGTTCAGTGTATCTGAAATAAATCAGTGATCCCATTTACTACTGGACAGCTCTCCTGATCAAACGCAGAAGGGCATTAATTGGTACCCTGCACCTCTTGGACGAGGGTACTTCCAGTTCAGGTGTGAGGCAGAACTGACAGAAGTGTGATTGAATCTGGGACGTGGTGGAAGAGCAGAATTTTATTGATGCCTCAGTCTGACTTCACAGCACTATGCTGATAAGGACTAACCTTGTTTGAGATGACACTGCAGCCAGTAATGATATCTCCTAAATAGCTTATTTAAAGCTCTCTTTCCATGGCCTTTTAAAGATGCTATAAACCCCAGTGATTCTAAAAGCTCTTCTCATCCTTCCAACTTTTCTGATTTGTATTGGTTTTACTCTTCCTTGAAACACAGCTGTTGTTTGTCAGTCTGTGTATGGCTTTAGAAGTTCCTCCAGACAAGTGCAAGTACTTTGCTTTTTCCAGAACCCTTTTGAATAGTTTACACATCTTACATAGAGAGAGGCTTTGCATAAATGTACAGATATACCCACGTGCACATGTCTAAGTGTGTGTGTACAGAAATGTGCTCCTGCAGGTTCTGAATAACATGGAACGTGTTTCAACAAGTGCTTATGTCTTGAATACTTAGGCTGGTGTATTAGTGTATATATTTAAATGGCAAGGAGGAAAAAACATTTTGTTTGATTCTGGTTACAGCTGAGAAATACAGCTTTGAGGAAAATTTGAATGAGTGTTCCGAGTGTATTTCAGCCTGTTTGTGGTTTGAAAGACCCAAGTTGGTAATGATTGGAACTTGAGAAATCAGCAAGCCTGTGTTAAGCTAAACCTCTTGGAGGACCCAATATGCTTTCAGTTTGCAAGGACCACTAAAGACCTGGGCATTTACTTTCTCCATAACGTATTCTGTATGAGTATTTAGTATGTATGCCTTCAATTTGCCAATGTTGCCATGTTTTCTTCTTAATTATTCATGAAATAAAGGTTGCAAATAGGAGACTGTGTGTGTTTTTTCTTGGGTGAAGGCCTGCACAGGGGCTGTTCTCAGGCTGGGGCTGGCACTGCTTTCTCAGGAGTGCTGCAGGAAGCAGTGGTGGAGGTGAGGAGCGTGTGCCAAGGGCTTGTGTGCACATAACCTCAGGATTTCTTTGGAAATCATATCTGTCTTGGGATACCAGCAGCCTCTACCCCCAAAGGGTTTTAGGTGATAAGACAGTGAATACTTCAGATAAGAGAGACATGTTTAAGGCGTCTGCTTAGCCTGTATTGTTCTAGAGAAGGAAATTGCAGAGAATATGTTCAGTTTAAGCAACTTCTGTAATGCATTGCAGGATTAGAATTACTTACATGTTACTTAACCCAACCCAAGTAAGGCACTTGTGTGCTCACCCTCTCTGTCTCTAAAGAAGTTGGGCTGGAGAGAGGCTGGGGGCTTAATCTCTGCAACAGTTCAGACTGTTTAAAGCAGAAGCCTACACACAAATTTTTCCAGGTGAAACTAAAGCTTAGAACACCTTAAACCTGGTTTGGTCTCAAATCATCCTGGTTGGTAACTGTTTTCAAATGCTGGTTTAGAGCTTTAATTTCAAGTGCTCTGGAATAAATTGGATCCAGAGGTTTAGAATGAGCTCCTAATTATTATAAATGCTGTTCTGAAAGGCACTAGCTAGTATAGGTATTTTAATTTTACTTTTTTTTTTTTCCCTCCAAGATTTTGTGTGGTGTTTTCTGACTGTTCAGCAATCCAGGAAAGTCTTTGTCTCAGTAATGTTATTCTGCAAGAAAGTGTCTTGTTTCTCCTTTCTTGAGGTGAAATATTCTCCATGAGAACTCCTTGCAGTCCTTCCTGCAGAGTCTGGAGCTGCTGGAGGTGTGTAGTTGAAGAACATGCCTGATTTAAGAAAATGTTTTCGTTCTTAAAATGAATTTCTATCCTGTTTTTAAGCATGGATCTTCAGTTTTCACACTTCTTTTGCAAATAAATGTTTCAGAAGTGTTTTGTAGTAGACTCATGTCAGAAGACAGATGTTCTTTTCTGTAGCAAGCACATGGCAGCTCCATGGAAGGGACTGCTCCACGTGCACTGGGCATCTGGAGGGCAGGGCATGGCCAGGCCTGAGGGATGCTAAAACTGCAGGGTCTGCACAGTCTGTAGAGCTGCAACTTTTCTTTCCCATATCCACTGAAATAATATTCCCTCCCCAAAGTATTTTCATGGATTGTCTTCCAAGCTGTCACTAAAAAATTTTGTTAAAAATGTGAAACCAGCTCCATAAGTGAGCCTAAGTTGAATATAATAAAATTGGTTCATTAATTTTTAAGATCTTACTGTAATGAAAAGCTGCAGCTATATGGAATAGTGAAATAAATACCTCAGAAGCAACAGCAGTATAATATTCCATTGTGTTGAATCACAAAAAAGCTGATATTGGAGTCATGGTTTTTCTGCAGTTAAATTCTGTGGAGCAACTAGGTTAGCAACAGACCTTCTGCTGAAATTGTGCTAAAGGGTTTCACAATTGCTTTGTTCGACAGAAGGGACTTGGATTAAATCATGTCTGTTGCAGAGAATTTTACAAAGGGCAGAGATCAGAGGAGCTCACAAGATGTGCAGTATTAGCACAGAGAATTATTTTAGAGGAGACCCTTATCATTGAAAGTGAACTCCTTTCTAAGTTTTCTCATGACCTAGGAAGGTATTTGCAACCCGTAGCTACTGGTAGAACATTAAAAAATGTGAATTCCTGCTTGGTGCTGCAGCCCAGCATCTTGAATGGGCAGGCTGGCTAAATTGTGTTTCTGTTCCTGGCAGCTCAAGATTATAAGAGCATTTATGTCTAATTAAATATTTTTATTCATTTCATTTCTATTAGAAGAGCTGGATTGAGACTTCTCCCATGCAAGTCTTTGTTCAGGAAAAAAACATTGGCTGTGAATTTTTAAAGAAGCAGATGAGGGAGTGGTGCCACCAGTTCTAATCCAGGTTAAGGCTTTTATTAGCCTTTGTCTGCTATTTCCTGTGTCACCATTGTTTAACCCTTTCTGTAGGACTGAATTTCTGTATATTAAATGTCCTATTTGAAAAATATGATGTTGACTTTTCTTAAATGGTCTTTGTCCTTCAGGATTTTCAGTTCTTTGGAACCTTCCTTATCTCATTATGAAAATAGGGTGGCACACAGTGTCTCATCACAGTAGTTTTGCTCTTTGACATCTGCACTGGTTCTATAGTGTGGGGCACTATTTGTGCTGTTCCCCAGTGCTGTGCATAGCTCACTCCCTTGTTTATGTCCTTTTCTTAAACCATTTTAGGCTCTCTCCTCACGCCAGAAGCCTAAAAGTTAAGCTCTTAAAAATGAAAGAAACTTGAGAAGGAGACATAACAGTCTGGAGACAACTTCACTGAGCTGTTGACAATATCATATTTTTCAAAAATAAATATCCCACAGAGCACCAAAATGCCACTGTGTTGAGTTAAGGGCCACACTCAGAGCCCATGGGCTGCACCAGGGCACAGCACTGGGCATAGCCAGGGCTGTCTCTGCAGAATCACAGCTTTGCACTGTCAGCTTTGCAGGTCAGGAGCTGCAAAAAACACCCCTCCAGAAAAGCCTGCAGAAATTATTACAGCTGGACTTTGGTCTGGGCAGAACAAAACGTAAAAGGAGGGTTTGGTGCCCTCCTGCTCATGGCCAGAGGCACAGCTGGCATTGAAATGGGGTGCTAAAACATGAGCTCAGCTCTATAAACCTCTGCAGCTGTGTCATTTTGCACCAACATTTCCAGCACATGCTCTTCCCTAGCAGGGTCAGCAGCCACCTCTGTCTCCAGTTTGTGTCGTGACAAACCTGGCTTATACACAATGTCTATTTTGTAGAGGTAAATAAGGGTTACCCTCTCATTGCTCCTCAGAATAAAATGAGAATAGTTCAAGTGAAGAAGAATCAAGTGACTTCTGCTGGGCCTTTCAACTCCAACAGTTCATTTATTGTGTAAAGGTAAGTTATATTTTAGCTGTTGCTCTGCAGCTCCCACATGATGATTCATGCTACCAGTTTTTCTTCTATTAATAGTTTACAGAGAGTGCTTAAATTTAGATTGAATTCCATCTCATAGTCTGTCATGTTGGATAGCATTGAGAGAAATAAAGCCACAGTCTGTTTGGGCAGTGTCTTTTACAGAGAGTAGTCAACTCCTGACATGAAATTACTGAAATTCCTTCATTCCTGACCCAGACTGGATTCAGACTGTGCTGGGGACATGGTTTGCATTTCCCTGTGAGGGCAAATCTTACCTTGACTTCAGCTTCTTTTCCTTAAGCCTCTGGTAAAAGCTGAAGTCCTCTGTGCTGGAATTGAACAGTTGGTGCAAAAAGGCTTCAGTTTCTGACATGGGAGTCAGAGATTTCATTATGATTTTAGCCATGGGCATTGCCAGCACAATTCTGCACTTGTAACTTTGTTAAAGGAGACACTCTTCAGAAAAACTGAGTTTTTCCCAATGTTGACTTTAAAAATGCTGTCAAATATTTAATGTTGAACAATGTCTGTGAAATAATCACATATATACAAACACACATACAGATTTCTATTTTATATATATATATATATATATACACATATATACATATATATATATATCTGTCTTTAATGTTGAAGGATTTTCTGGTGTATCCAAAGGTCCTCCAGTAACTTTGGCCTCATCCCTTCTTTTAGACTAACACAGGTGTCTTTCATGGCTTTTGAGGAGATTCAGGCAGTATTTGTGGGAATGGAATATATACAAGTCAGAACACACCATTTTAAATATCTTGTTTGACAACATTGAACATGTGTGCTAATGCAACGCTCAGTTTGATGTTCTTGGCAAAATATACATCCCTTAAATGTAATTTTGCACATATTAAATAATTCCGTCTGGTTAGAAAGAAAAATTTCAATACAGAGAAGATCCTCAAAACTGATAAAGCATTAATCTCTTTGTAAAGACAAATAATCTTTTCTGTTTGAAATAAGATTAATTCTTCCAGCTTCTGTCCTAGGCAAACTGATCATTTTCAGTCCTCCACATGGAAGCCTCAGTACCTGGGTACGATTTTCTGCTTCCCAGGGTGGCAGGCTGTGTTTGGTTATGAGTCTGTTTTGTGTTCCAGGGATATCCCTGATGTGCCCAAGGTGTCACTCAGGCAGTGCCAGCAAAGAGAAGGGTGAGTTTCTCAATAGGTCTCAATAGTTTCTCAATAGGTTTCTCAATGAGGTTTTTATTTACTTTGCTCTCACCTTTTTGGAATAAGCATTTCAAGGGTTCTACACAGGCTTTCTCGAGTTTACTGCTTGAGCTGAGTTCCTAAATCTGAGGAGTGCAAATATTCTTATCACCACTTTTCAGCTGCCCAAAACTCGGGAGTTTGGCTTGTTCAGTGAGACAGTGAACAGGATGTCACTGCAGCTCTGCTTTCCAGGAATGAGAAAGTCTATCTTGGCTGCACATGGGAGAATCAGAAAATCTAATTCCTGTCCTTGCAGTCCTGGACTCCTTTCAGCTCAGAGCTGGCTCTGAATGTGTGGCAGCCCCTCTCCGTGGCTGTGGGGGCTGCTGGAAGCTGTTTTGTTTCCAGGAGGTTTCAGCCTGTCTCTTCATGCCATCCCTTCTCAAACTGTGCCAAGGCACAGCACTCACAGCAGTGCTGGTTTATTCTCCAAAGTGACCGAGGGAAGTTGCACTCTGTGGTGCTGCCACCCCTGCATTTATTATAAAAAACAAAGAAAATGTTAAAAAGCTGTTTGTATTCCTTACTGTCTATTTACTGCCACTGGTAAGGGAGGGCATAAGTAGAAATACCCAGAGGTAAGGACAGTGCACATGGACTATGCACAGGAATTATGGTCTGATACTTGACAGGGACAATGGCATAGAACCACTAGGAAAACAATTCATTTTGTAGTTCAAAAGGAAGGTAACAGATCTATTCAGATCTTATTATAGTAATGGAAGTTATCCTATCCAACTGCTGAATAGGACATAAACCAGCAGCTGCTCATTATAAACACAGTTCCTTGTGCAGAAGTGAGAAATGAGCATGCAGAAGACCTGGAGGGTCTGGCCCCGTTGCTCAGGGAGGTGTTAATACTGATTTTAACATCTTGGACCACTGCAGAGTTCCCAGCTGCACAGATAAAAGCAATAGGTGACAATGAGATTCTGATATGCCATCCAAACTGGAATGGCCAGTGAGGAAAGGAGCCAGTGCTTCTGGTATCAGAACACATTTATAGAAGGAAAGGAATTTCTAAGAAGCCTTAGAAGCTGGTCAGGGAGCCATTATCAGCCAGTTCTGTGTGAGTACTCGGACATTTGTTTTGGATCTTCTATGACTTGCTGATTTTAAAGAAAATCTATGTAGTCTACATCAAATACTCTTAAAATTTGTTAGCTGCAAAAAAATCAAAGAGTTTCAACTGGGAAAATAAACACCAAATTATGCATTTCTGGGGTCCTTCAAGGGTATGGTGATCATCATTTGTGACTTGGGAAACTCATAAGGTGATATATTGCGGATGGGATGGTTGGAATAAACCACTCTGGCAGTTCAGTGAAGAGGATTGACTGCAACAGCTATGTTTAATGTATTAAGGAACAAAATAATATTTAGAAAGTGCATCCCTACTCCTTAGAAGTATTTTGATATCCAGCTTTCATTGATTTCAGTGAGAGAGAGTAATTTGGATGGCTTTGAGAATCTGGGCCAAAGAGTGAGGCAGCCTCTGCACCACAGCAAACCCAGTCCTGGAAGGGAGCAACACGGAGCAGATGCAGCAGAGCATGGCAGGCAGCTGATTCTGACTTGTTCCTCTAGTTCAAAAACAATTGCACAGCATAAAATTTCATGGAGTATCAACTAGGAGTGGGAATATACCACCTCTTGTACAGGGCAGATGTGAGGCCCTCACATGAATAGTATCCATTCCTGGTGTCAGCATTTTTTAAAAAAGCTCTGGTAAACATCATGTAGGCAGGTGGCATTTCTAAATCTATCATCTGTGCAGCATGTTTTGATGAGGCTCCTTATTTTTTTCATCTCCCACTTTTGTTTCTCCTCTTGACTTGGCTAAGTCAGTGTATGTGTTCCTTAAAATCATTTCAAGTTACTGTGTGGTAAATTACTCCAGCTTTTTCTGTAACTTCCTGGGAAAAATTACTTTTTTTTTTTCTTCCCAGAGGATTCCCATTGTGTTTGGAGCAGCCTTCACTCTTCTCTGTAGCTCCCAGCTGCCTGGCTGAGCCAGCCCATGAACCAGCCTGCCTCCTGACTGGGGTAAGAGTGCAGGGGAGGGCAGCTCAAGTGCTGCCTGCTGCTGCCAGTGCTGGATTTTTAATGCTTAGATGCTCACAGATTTTGAGGTTGGCACTGGAGGGGCTGGTGCCTGTTCTGCTCTTTCTTTCCTACTGTCTTGTTACACCAAGGAGATGTAAAGCATCTCTCGTGCCGCTGCTGCCGGGGAAGGCAGGGTGAGCAGTGCTGGGTGTCAGTGATGTGGGAATGCTTTTGGAGTGGGGAATCCTGGAATAAAACCTCACTGTATGACACAAGCAGTCCCTGCACAGACGGGGTGGGCTGGCTGTCACTGAGGTGGATCAGTCTGTCACAGGCTGGGACCTGCCATGGAGCTGGTGGGAAGTGTGGAGTCACACTGGTGGTTTTTCCTGTTTGCAATGTCCACTTGAACTTGAAAAATAGAACTTAAAAATCTTAGAAGATACCCACAAAGACCAGTGGGATTAAATTTTTGAGAGGTTCTCTCCCTGTTTCAACATTGCTGCGAGATGAGTCATGGCTGTCCCCAAGTCCTCGGAGGAGCAGGAGCAGTGCCGGCAGGAAATGTGGAGTGTGCTGGGGGATCCACAGCCGCCTGCTCGGTGGGAATGAGAAACTGCTGCCAAAGAGTCAATATCTCTGCAGAGAACTCTCATTAAACACTTCCAGAGTGGTAATGCACAGGTAATGCTCCTTTCCGTAGGTGGTAGTGGCAGCTGGGAAGAGAAGAGAGTGAAGCTGCTCTGGGTGTGCAGCCTGACCCGGCGTCCCCTCAGCACTGCACGGGGCCACCAGCCCTGTGTGCTACAGCTGCAGGCTTCGACTCGCTGGGTGAGTTTTCCAGCCTGGAAAGAAATAGATGCTTAAAATAATGTAGTGAGAAAGCCCTCCTCCCCTCTCCTCCCCTCTGCCCTCTCCCCTCTCCTTTTCCCTTCCCTCTCCTTTCCTCTCCTCTCCTTTCTTTCCTCCTTTCATTGTATGCAGATCAAGTCCAGTCAAAGCCCGCTGCTGTCACCCGCAGGTGCCTCAGGACAAGCCAGGACTCTCCAGTAAGTTCCGTCTCTCCTGCAGCCCCGCTGCGGGGATGCTCTCCGGGCTGTCCGTGTCGGTGCCGCTCGGCTCCGCCCGCGCGGGACAACTGCGGGGGACCGGGACCGGGACCGGGACCGGGACCGGGACCGGGACCGGGAGCCGTTCTCGCGGCCGCGTGTCCCGGTGCCGGTGCCGGCGTCGCGCCCGCGCCGCGCCGCCCTGCAGGGGGAGCCGCGGCGGCCGCGTCCTGCGCGGAGGCGGGAGCGGAGCGGGGCAGCGCCGGCACCGCCGCACGGCTCCGGGCGCGGCCGGAGCGGAGCGGCGCCCCGAGGAAAGGTGGGTGAGGCCGGCGGCCCGCGGGGAGGGGCGGCGGGGGCCCGGGGTGCAGCTCCCGGGGCGGAGCGGGACCTCCCGGCCGGGGCGGGCCGCGGGCTCGTCCCGCCGGAGCATCCCGAGCGCGGCGGTCCGCGGTCCGCCGTGCGCGGCTCGGTTTCCCTCGCGGCGGCCGCGGTCCCTCTCCTGCCTGTCCCGCGAATTTGAAAAGTGGCCGCCCGCTGCCCTCTCGGTGCAGCCGAGCCCCCAGCCCCGAGACGGGGCGATTTTGCTTTCTCCTGCCCCGCTCGGACGGTGTTTCCCCGCGGAGCCGGCGCGTTTCACTCCGTGCTGATTCCCGACTGTCAGTCCCTCGACACACCCCCGCGCTCCGAGAGGTTTGCTCCGCGGATCTTCCCTCAAACATCAGGTGCTGGACTTTGCCTCCCTGCACCCAGCCCTCCTCGGCCTTCCAGCAGATATTTGCGCTTAATCATAAAATAGTGATTCCGGGGGAGCACCCTTCATCCTGCAAACTTCTCTGTTGTGCTTTCAAAGGAGATTTCTATGCGCTTCGCAGTCGGGTTAAAGGGAAAAGGGCAGGGACTGAGCAGACGGCTTCAAGGCGGTGCGGTCATGTCCCGTTGCTTGCCCCCAGCTCTGCCTTATCTCTGCCGAGCGGCTGGGGTTGCTCCGCAGAGCGCCCGGGAGCCTCCGCCTCGGCAGCCCGCGATGGAGCCGCCCTGCCCGAGCGGCCCGTGCCCCGGCTGGGGCACACGGGCTGCGGGCTGCGGGCTGGCTCCGGAGCTGCACGATGTGGCGCAGGGCTCTGCCCGGCCCTGGGGCAGGGCCTGGGGCAGCAGGTGCGTGCCCATCCCGCCGTGCCGCCGCTGCTGCGCGGTGCTGTCGCCGGGGATGCTCCCGGGAGGAGATTTCCGCACGGTCGTTTGTGTGGTCTGAGAGTCACGGTTGCTTTATTGCTCTTCTGTGCCATGGGCAGTGTGAGTCTGGGGGGTCTCGAGTGCAGGGGGGATGCAGGCTTTGCTACAGCCTGAAAGGAGGAAAAGTGGTTGAGCACCTTCAAAATTGCCTGGGGCGCTGAGCCCACAGCGAGACAGGAAGGGTTAACTTAAAGAGAACAATATGACTCACTTGGTAAATAGTTAATAGAATTGCTGTAACTACTTAAAATTATTTTCCTAAGCAGATGGCCAACCATTAGATAACTCTGTCTTTGGATGTATTTGTTTTCAGGTTTCTTATCGGGCTTGTAAGTCTCAGGCACATGTAACTCAAGAACTGGAGTAATTGATAAATTCATCCTCCTGCATGAGGGAAACTAGCAGAGAGAGAGAAAGCACGGTCAGCCCCTACAGTTAGAGACATCCCTGGAACATATTGCCCAAGCGAGGTAGAAAAATATTAGATAAAGTGACCGGCAAGGATGTGAGAAATATTTCAATTGAATTAGGTCTCTGGAGAAAATACCTTATTTTGAATCTCAATAAAACAGTCAATATAAATGTAATCATGTACCACAAAAACATACGGAAACAAAATCCTGCCTAATGTGGCAAATGGACTGAATTCTGAATTAACCAGGAAAGTGGTGAACCTCTGAATTTGTAGAAAAAACATGTGGGTACAAACTGCAAACGTGTACGTGTGTACATAAAATAAAAATTACCTATTGCAGGGTGTGAAAAAAAAAAAAGGCAAACAGGTCTCCTTTTTAATGGTGGCCATGTGGTACATTTGTAATTTTCATGTGTATATAATGTGTCTTTCCATGCATATTTTTATACATAAAAATTAGAATCGGCATCACCCTGTACCAGGTCAAGGGATGTTGGCCCAATAATGGTGTTTTTAACCTCTGTCCTTCTATCAGTGGGTGCAGAAGGCACTAAAGGTCTGAGCTGGAAAGCTTCTGCCAGGTCTGCCATGTTTGCATTTCTGTTTTTGCTGGTATTTTAATAGGATGTTTCCATAAGGGCTGCTGCTGCTATTTCATTTGAATATAAGCAACTTTTGAAAGCTCTTCATCTTTTTTGTTTAATCTTCAATGACGGATTTCACGTAGAGCTGTGTGGTTAAGTTCTCCTAAGAACCACTGGGAAAAGCTCAGCCCTGCAGAAGGTTTGGGGGGAATCTTTACTCTTCCTTTCAGTCCTGACTCTCAGAAGGGTCTGGTCCCTGCTTGGTTTTGAACCTGGCTGCTTTTCCATCTTGTGTTGAGGGAAAGCCTCTCCCTTTAGCACTTCCTTTCTGCCTGCCTGACTGATGGCTGTATGATTTCTTGTCTATACAGGATGTTGAAAGTTTCACAGATTTCTCACCATTTTCCCTATGCTTCAGCTCTTCACTGGGGTTTGACATTTCTGCCCACATGAGATGGGACAAGGCACAGTGTGGGGAAAGTCTCTGAGTTCAGCACAGCTGGGAGTGAGGTGTTCTCCATCCAAAGGCTGGTGCCAGTATCTCTCTTGGTGTCCTGCAAAGTTTGTCCTTGTCTTCAGCTTGAAGAGATTCCATCTCTGCTTGTTCATTTTCTCATTTGATCTGGATTGTGATTAACTCCCAAGGTTGTTCTTTATTGTGTGATTTATGTCTGAAAATGGACATGGGCTATTAAATTTTTTTTTTTGTTGGACTTTAAAGTAAAAACCAGGAAAAAGATCTTGAGCTGTGTGTCAAAGAATCAAAGAAGAACCTCACAAGTCACTGGAGGGCTGTTCCCTTTTATCAGGATATCTGGTATTTAGGACCAGAAGGTTTGGTTGCTTCAGGGACCATCTTCAGGTTTTGCACAGTGCACCCAAACAGATTTGGTAGAGCTATTTGAACAAAATAGCACCAGTTGCTTGCCTCTCTGCTCATTTGAAAAATTCTGAGGAAGCTGCCACTTAATGAGATGCATTTGTGGTTGAATATTGAGGCTTGGACTGTTAGGGTGAAGAACTGGCAGCATTCTGTCTTGGGAGGGCAGGAGGGTCTGGCAGATGTGCAGAAGGTGATTTGGCCTCTGGAGGCTTCAATTCCTTCTGTAGTCAGAAAATGCCTCTCCCTTCACAAAGGTTGCAAATGTATCAGGGATAATTATTAGTTGTATTGCACGGGTTTTTTTCTGCAGTAGATCTCTGTAGATCAGAGTGGACAGATGGCACATACAATTCTCAATTATGGAAAATATCCTTAGGAGGCACTTGGAGGTCATCTAATCCAGACCTCTGCCCAAAGGCAGGATCAGCTGTGGATTTGCCATTCCTGACATCTTTCTCTATCCTGCTCCTTAAGACCTGCAGTGGAGACTCCTCACTTTCCTGGTGTGCAGGAAATACCCTGATGTCCTGCCTAAACCTCCTTTGCTCTAACTCATTCTTCATCCTGACCACAGTGGGCAACCACAGGCAATCAGCAAAGAGTATTTCAAAGCACTTCACCAAATGCAGGTATTTGGTAAATGTGAGTGGGTAAAGGTGTGATCTCTTTCATTCCTCAACCTGGGTCCTGGGGCTCTTGCCAATGGGGATTTTTACATTTTTATTTCTTTAAAAGTTACACATTTCAAGCCCCATAAAGTCATTTTATTACCACTACAAATGCAGCAGTGGAAGGCAGGGTTTGAAAAGAAATGACAGCTACAAGACAAATGGTATTTATCTTAGATGGTAAGTCAGGGGTTGCATGCAGTAGGTTTATCACTATCTGACAGGTAACAAGATAAAGTCCAGGTGTTACACAGGGATGTGGAAAGACTTGAAACAGGAATAAAGAATACTTTACAAAGCATTTTTAGGGAACATTTGCAAACAATGCATCTGAGACAATGGAGAAGTTAGCAGGGAGGGAAATTTCTTGCAGGGATGATTTGAGCCAGGGACAGGGGGAGGGAAAGGCATGCCGGGCATGAGAGAATCTTCCTGTCCCTCTGTGATACGAGGAGAGGAAAGGGGGGTTTTCCTGGAGCTTTGGAGACGTGACGGGTGACATGCTGGGCTCCTGGCTGCGTGTTGATTAGCAGTTGTGATTGCTCCCAGTTCCAGGGGGGAAGGCACCGGCATTCTGGTCCTGGCAGCCTGGGGCTGTTCCATCTGCGGCAGGGCATTCCCTGTGTCCCGGTGCCCTCTCTTTGTGCCTCCCAGCTCCAGCCGTGGCCGTGCTCCGCAGCTCCCCGGGGGATTGTCTGGTGGAGCCTCTGGAAGCCCAGCCCGAGCCGGGGGTCCCGTCCGAGCATCCCCCGGGCAGGGCAGCCCCGCACCCGGCCGGGGCAGGAGCGCTGCTGAGCGGAGCCAAGTGAAGCTTTTAATGCATCCCTTCGGGAATGGTGAGGTTTGCAGTATTCCCTGATAGAAGTTTCCTCATTTAGTATTCAGACCTCAGTGTCTCCTCTGTTTTTCTCCTGGCTTTGCTTTGTTGGAGATGTTTTGGTTTGGGTTTGCACTGTTGTGTTCTCCTCTTGCTTCTTGTCTCCCCTTTCACCCCCA